AGATGTACATCAAAAATACTATATTGATACAGCAGCTAAAACTAAATAAATTAACTTAAAATAATCAACATGTTTAAACACAAGAACAAAAAATGCAAAATCGCATTGAATTATGCCCGATACAGACAGACAACCACTTTGCTTTTTCAACACCAATTGATAAAGTACGACTATAATAGCTGCTCTAAGCTTATTTTTGCTTGACCTTCGTTTTTTTTTCTTCTTTGGCTTGGAGTGGCATTTGCTTCTGAAACAAGTAGAGTCAAGGTCAGTATCAGGTTCTGAACACTTGGTAGGATTACAGTGGTAATAGAAAGACTGACCTTACATCTACAATGTCTTTCAATCAAGCTAGAAACTATGCTACCTACTCAATGCAATGCATTAAAATCCTTTTTGTAGCCTAACACATTTCTGCACCAACAAATTAGTATATACTCAGCTTTGAGATATCGCTGCTCCTCCTAAACACTTAACCAAGAGTCATATTTGTCTCTTCCAAAGTAGAAATAAAACATTCAAGAACAATTGAATATACCTGCAGGATATGCACTTTGTTGAGGTTTCAAAAAGTACAGCACTTAATTCTAATCTTCACTATTAAAATGTCTATGATGTCTAATTTCCATTGAAAAGAGTGTGTTTTCTCTCTAAAGCGTAGGAAGGAGTGAGTGACATACTGTATATATTGTATTATTTATTTCAGAGATAATAGCAGCTTCCAGACGGGGGACGCTGTCCGTGATAGGGTTGCAAAGACGTTGAATGTGTTCAGATTTTTTTAAAGGAACATCTCGTGAAAACAGCCTTTGAGGACTGCGGCAACTTTGACTGAGCGTGCCAAGGTTAGCTGTTGAAGCCGTTAGCTCAGTGGATTCAACTGCCAACCTTGTGTTGTTATTGCAGAGGGGGCAAAGAGAGAGACAGGGGATTAAACAGAACCCCCACGCAGCCGTATTACTCTATTAATCAGCTGTCTTTGTATATCAAGGTTTAACAAGAGGTTGCCTGGTGCATGTCTGAGAGAGAACAGGTGCATTTATTTGAAGGATCAGGGTCTTGAGCTTGAGGGTTTCTCTTCTTATTCTTTCTCATTTTCTCTGGCATGTCAGGTGTTTTCATATTTTATTTGATCAGTCTTCAGTGTACATGATTCACTCAGTCCTTCTTTTTCACTCCTACTCATCCCCTTTTCTTTCGTTCCAAACCTTTCTGGGTTCAATATTTATATGTTGCCTCTGCCTCCTTTTGGTGCCCGTTTCTATTTTCTTACTTTACTCATATTTTGACTTTATCTTGGCGCTCCCCTCCCTCCCTAATACTTTACGTTTGTATCTTGGGTTCATAAAAGTCGTGTGATTCATCGTCCCAAAAAGGGCAGCAGTTTTGTAAATAGTCTGATTTTTCTTTCTTTCTTCTGAAGAGCAACACATCTTGTAGAAATCTTAACTATGACTAGGGTTGCTATATGATGCAACCTTCTGAAGACACAAGTGGCCTTTAAACAAGGGGTGTAGTAGGGAGTTGTTTGTTGTAGCTTTGTTATTTGACTGCAGGGTGTTTGTGAATGAGACTGCAGCGCCTGTACAGCTTATGTGTACATCTCTTACAAATCGCTCTGAAAACGTTCAATATTTAAGTGTTCTTCTGTTGGTTAACTTAGATGTTCCTGAAGTATTAGTTTCCATGCATTATCATACTCGATGATTGCGAAGGATTCTGTGTTGTTGAAATCTCATACATCAGTCGATCTTTGTTTGTTCAGCAGTAGTAACTCGTTACTCGCAAAACAAAAACATAACGTCGCTTCATACAATGTGAGTTGAATATAGTTGCATTGGCTCCCCTGAACTTTTAATGGACCAACCACTGCTGTCTAAAAAACTGTGCACAGCTTGAGATCTTCCCCGGGAAACATGTCACATACGCCAAGTTTGTAATGCTGCGAATGCAAGGACTTTCATCATTGGGCCATGGCCCAATGATGAAAGTTAATTCATTAATTAATTAATTCATTCATTCATTCATTCATTCATTAATTCATTCATTCATTCATGGCTCATTCATGGCTCAATTAAAGTTAATTCATTCATGGCTCAATTACCATCATTAATTGTACTATTATTTGAAGATACAGTGACTCAACTCGCAATAAATGCGTTGTAAATAGTAGATTAGTAAAAACATATGCCAACGTTACAAATTAAAGAATTATGAAATGACCATTTGCCAACAAAAAAAACGTAGTTAGAAAAAAATTAAGTATTAACTTATCAGGCGGCCATATAGCTCACTTCGTACAGCTGGCAGGACATGAACTGAGGCCCAGTCCCTGCTGTGGGGGACGCAGGGTTCAAATCCGATCCCTTTGTAAACTAATCATTTGAAATAACTTACAAAAAAGCACTTCAGTCAAGTTTTAAAAATGAGGAATACTAAGCAGCAAGCAGAGCAGTTCCCCTCTCTGCATTCAGAGGTCACACATCTTTCTCCCCCTTCCTTACTCCTTCAATGGCTTCACCTCCTCTCATGTAGTCTATTGACAGCCTTTACACCCACCCATACAGTGGAAGCACCACTCAAACCTGCTTGAATACATATTGTCCTTCTGATAAATCCACACTGCACACCAGCCTCACATTCTCCTTGCAAGTGTTGTTACATATCCACTGTGCGTTCACCCTGTTCAATGTTCAATGTGCATGTGTGGAGTTTAAACCGTCTTTGTATACCTTCTACATTTGTGCAATGTTTGTAAAAACCAACAAAAACCCTTGTAGCATGAACATTGTTGGCAATCTTATTTCTCTTCTTTCCGCATATTCTATCTCTTTATCTCTTAAGTCCTTTACTTTATGGACTGATTGCTTAATTTCCAAGTAAGGCATTTTTTTTCATTATCTTTTGTAGATTCACATCCATTTTTGGGTCCAAGGAATGAAATAAGTGCTGACGTTTTTAGGGCATTTGTATTTATTTTGAAACCGATGTATGGCTGCATTGCACTGTCAGTCTTAAAGCCCCTGTCACACTGTCCCGAAATTGACACCCGATGGACACACGATAAAGGAAATGTTCAAATTCGGCTGTGATCGTAGCAACATCGGGCCATTCGTGAGGGCATCTTAAGCCATCGTATGACCGCCGGTGGAGTTTCTCAGGCTCCGGCAGCAACTTCGTGAGCGGCAACTTCGTAAAGGCCCTGTCACACTGTCCCGAAATTGACACCCGATGGACACACAAATATGGAATTGTGAATTTCGCACGAAGATGGCCCTGAACCACACACGAAGGCAACATTTACATTACATTTAAGACATACAACTGCAATGAAAGTACCAAAAACAATTATGTTACAGTACTATGATACTGTACTGATATATTCAGACTTTGTTCTTTACTTTATCCGTCGTTATATGTAGAAAATATTACGTTTTCTCCGTAATGTTGTTTCCATAACAACAACAACTTCCTGTCAATTGTCCTTCAAAATAATATATTATATCCTTTTTAGTTTCACAGAACACAAATTGGGTTATTTACATAATATGTTTACATGATTTTGTTGTGCAATAAAACAACCCGATGGACACACGATAAAGGAAATGTTCAAATTCGGCTGTGATCGTAGCAACATCGGGCCATTCGTGAGGGCATCTTAAGCCTTCGTATGACCGCCGGTGGAGTTTCTCAGGCTCCGGCAGCAACTTCGTGAGCGGTGGCAAAATCTTTGGCATGCCAAAAAATTGCCGAAGGACCTTGCGAAGGTTCATTTTCGTGTTGAATTTGTGTGTAAATGTTGCCCTTCGTAAGGCCATCGTGAGGGCATCTTGTTATCATCGGTGCCATCGGGCATTCACCACGATCAGAGTGAGGGTGAATGCACCGATGATAACACGAAGATGACACGATTTGACAAGATGCCCTCACGAGTACCTTACGAAGTTTCCGCTCACGAAGTTGCTGCCGGAGCCTGAGAAACTCCACCGGCGGTCATACGATGGCTTAAGATGCCCTCACGAATGGCCCGATGTTGCTACGATCACAGCCGAATTTGAACATTTCCTTTATCGTGTGTCCATCGGGTTGTTTTATTGCACAACAAAATCATGTAAACATATTATGTAAATAACCCAATTTCTGTTCTGTGCAACTAAAAAGGATATAATATATTATTTTGAAGGACAGTTGACAGGAAGTTGTTGTTGTTATGGAAACAACATTACGGAGAAAACGTAATATTTTCTACATATAACGACGGATAAAGTAAAGAACAAAGTCTGAAGATATCAGTACAGTATCATAGTACTGTAACATAATTGTTTTTGGTACTTTCATTGCAGTTGTATGTCTTAAATGTAATGTAAATGTTGCCTTTGTGTGTGGTTCGGGGCCATCTTCGTGCGAAATTCACAATTCCATATTCGTGTGTCCATCGGGTGTCAATTTCGGGACAGTGTGACAGGGGCTTTAATATCCTCAGGATGTGATTTCCCATCATGTTCAAGGATGTAAAGCTTTCAGTCACTGAGATGAACTATTTTGATATCAAATTAAAAATTCACAAAAATGGATACAAAAGTCTTTAAAGAATACTTGAGAAAACTAGATGTCACCTTGCTTCTTTGAATTAAGCTCTTCTGTTCCTACTCACATGTTTTTTTAGCATGTTCCTGATGTGTTCATCCATCTGCATGATGTCTATAAGTTGTGTTTGACTCTTTGTATAAATAGAGTATCTTCACCTTGGGATCAGATGTGTCCAGTATGTTTGTGGCTAACATGTCTGTAAGAGAGTGTGTGTTTATCAAGGATGGCTACCATCTTCGGTGTGTTCTGTATGACTGTGTGAATATGTGTTAGTGCATGTATTGTGTTTATGTGTCCATGCCCCTCTGTGTGCTTGATTTATTGTGACTGCTTTTCAAATATGGTTTCCTATTCCAATGGGACTATGTGTGTGTATTTGTGTGTGTGTGACGGGCTGTGTGTATGTGTAGGTGCATCTACCCAGGACTCGGATGCGATGGAGCCGGAGAAGCAGGTGGACAGCACGGTGAAAATGGCCGGAGTGATCGCAGGGATCCTCATGTTCATCATCATCCTCCTCGGGGTCGTCCTCGCCTTCAAACGCAGGTAGGTGACAACCTGACATCAGGACATATCATAACACTTAAGGATGTTATGCGTAGCATTTTATATAAAAGATTCCCGTAACCCAAAGACAAGAGAATTGGTAGTCTCTATTGCTTTGCGCTTTAATAATAGTACTAGGGATAAATATATAAATAAAGAAATAATCTTTATAGCACTTTTCATACACAGGATATACTGTATTTCAAAGTGCTTCAACAATTTGGCACACAACACAAGTCAAACAGAAATAGGATATTTAATTAAAAAAATGAAATAGAGTTAGGGTTAAACAACATATAACCCACTCAGTAACGGCCCGTCCACACAGCGGCGTGCGTTGAAAACTTCACCATTCACTTTGAATGGGGCAACGTCACTTTTCGCCGAACTGCATTGTGGGAAGCGGAGCTTTGCTGGCGTGGCTCGCTGCAAAAGTTGAGCAATGTTCAACTTTTGAAGCCTCGGCAGAAGCGTCAGCCAATCGAATCATATGCCAGCACAAGCTCTAGCCAATCAAACCGCTGCTTGTGTGTCAGGGGCGGGAGATTCATGTGATTGGTTGTTGGTCGAGTTTCAGACACGCCCGCCGGCAAGCTTCAACGCACGCCGCTGTGTGGACGGGCCGTTAGAATGACATAAGACACATTTAGTAAATATAATAAAAGGAAATACATTGATAACTAATAATATAAACTAAATAAATGAATATATAAACAATTAAGTAAAACAAGTTCTACCAATAGAATGAGGATATTGAAATATATATAATATGTTTTCACAGAGGCTACCAATGATCTTTATGACCAATGTGTCATGTTGTTATAGTTACTATTGTATAATGTCATTTGTCGGTGAATAAAATGCTAAATGTAACATCTTTAAACCACAAGATCAAATACATTGACAGACAGATAGATGTAAATGTTAGGTGTCCTCATATTTGATATGCAGGTAGAAATGAGCAGGCATTAGCAGATAGGCATGCAGAGGGAAACATGGTTCATTTTAAATGTATGTACAAGGGAGACAATATATATGGAGGTGAAATCATTTTAATATTTAATAAATCAGATTTAATGAGAATTGCAGTGTCAGTCAACACAAACCCTTCGTTTCGATTAGTATTGAGAAAAAGTCAAGTATGTACTTTATATTTTCCAACCCTTTTAGCCAAAAAAAGGCCAATATTAGAGGTTTAGATATTTGGAATATGTGTGATGTAACTTTGTTCCCAGACACACAGCGCTCTGAGTCTTTGATCACATGCACACTGGCTCGCCACCATCACCTGCCTTCCTTTACTTTCTCTAATTCTCTACATCACTTCATCCATCCCTCTCTGCATCACCTTCATAATGCTTATACATTTTGATTTGCTAGGAATCACATGTTTGATTTGTTTGTGTCATTCTTGTGGGTGTCAGTTTATACGTTCACATTGCTGAGGAATCAAAATTGAAGGAAAGCACAGTTGTTTATTTTCTAATGCAAAACAAATGTAATAAGCACACTTTGTGATGTAAGGAGTTGAAGCGCACATGCTCCACAAAACAAAATGGAAGGCATGTGGATTTCTTGATCTGATTGCCCAAGGGGTTGAATGCTGAGTCTTTAATTGAACCGAATATCCAAATAAAAACGGTGGGGACTTGGAACATGTTTCAGAAAGACTACACAAACATTTATGGCCATTTGATAATGTAAAATCTGCGTTTTAACATTTAGAAGTGCTTATTGTGAGATTATTAATGTAATCGCGGTAGAAGCTGGATCACTGCTGCATTGTCATGATACAGATACGATACAGTACGATATACTTTATTGTCCCCGTAAGGAAATGTGTTCTGGACTCCGTCCTGCAGTTCCGCATACATGTACATATACAAACATAGTAAACATTAAAATACATATCATCACTCATACACCGTTTGAACAAACACAGGATAATGTTTGATAACAAGATAATGTATACTCCATGCATGACCAATACTACAGTGAGGGAAACTATCGCATACCTTATTGCTAGTCAGACTACAACATTACATCCATCTCAAGTGAGCAAAAAGGAGGATGGAGAGTCAGGAAGGGCAAAAGGTCAGTTAGCAATGCTAATCAGAGGCTAACTGCCACGGCTATATCCCAAACACCAGGAGGATACTGACAGAGCAGAGAGCTGTAAAATGCAAGGAGTTAGGTATAGGTAGAGACTTCAGAAGAGGGTGCTGGTAATAATATAAGAGAGAAGAAGCAAGAAAGGCAGGAAGTATGAAAATGTATGATGTCGGAAAATGATGAGAAATGAAACTTAGCAGCGCTGGTTAACCTCAGGGTCAAATGGATATGCTAACTGCATGCTAACCAGAATAACAGGGCATAATATACATACACATGCCAATTAGAGGGCAACCACCACCAGAGTAGGACGAGGAAGCAGTTGAGATGCTGCTCAGATGTTATCATTAACTCAAGCTAACTCAGGCTATCATTTAGGCTGAACGTTCGTGTACAATTCAAATAGAAACATTCAGCATCTATGAAAGTATAAAAGACAGATAGAAAGAAAGCCAAGCAGATATAGAGAAGGTCATACTGTAGCTTGAGGATAAACATATATTATGATGACATTAAAAGTAAGTTGCAAGAAGGAAATATCCAATCTTGAAGATGATAGTATGGAGACCAGAAAAGTAAGGAAGACAATGATGCTCAGAGAAAGAAAACTGATAAAAGTCATGCAGACAAATAGATTCGGACAGTGGGAGGTTTACCATATCATAGACCACTTTCGAGGTCATCTATATTTCATCCCACACACTGAAGCCAGTTGTCCGAGTCAAATAAAAGTGTTTTTTAAATTGAAAGTGTCTTACATGCCTTTCAGAGTCCATTAACTATGCTGCGACAAAACGTTGTCGTGAAGTGAGCACGCACAACTGTCCAATTAATCTTTCAGAACGCCGTTACATGTGTTCCAAATGGACTTTGTTTCTCAAGAAAAGCCAGGGGGGTGTCGCTAATGATGCAATGTAAAAGTGAATAACGCCGGACATTGCTGAAGTCTTAATGTGGATTCGATGTTTCTACAGCCAGGTGGCCCCGAGGGCTCATACAGCCGGCACCAGAAGATACACTTTTCATAAAAGGTTGAGAGGAGAATGGATGAATAATGAATGTTAGTGAAGCTCCCTAAACACTCGCTGCTTCTTCTCTGTGTGTGTTATGCCTGAGCAGCAGACTTCCGCTAAGTAATGGAGAAAAGGTGACGTCTCTGCAACTGCAAATTGATGGAAAAATATGTTATTTGAACTTCTTGAACCTCTATTTCCTTTCATCAAAACACTTTAAAATGCAGACCCTGCAGACATGTTTTGTGATTGTATTATATTTGAAGCTTTAATTCTGCTTTCATGGAAGGTCAAAGAGAGACTCAGCCTTGATCGACCTACTTGGTTTAATAGCTTAGAAATAAACATCTCAAAGAAAAAGCACATAGATGAGGTTATGCAGGCAAACGTGCAAAATAACAAAACAAAAAGGATAAGTATAGCCGTATGAGTCTTACATCTAATGCTGCTGGACATCTGCCCTTTCACATTAGTGATCATTGTATTGCTTTATAGGTGCATTTGTGTGGAAATATCTGAATTATGAATCCCTAACCACCTCCAAAGGCCTTCTGGGTATTTATGAGGCCCTGGCCAGCATGGTGGGGTCAGCCTGGCAATGTTTCAATTATTATTTACAGTGTGTCTAAAAACCTAATAGCTCGGTCTAGTAACTGAGTGTACAAAGGCTCACTTACACACTTTATCCCACTGTGTCAGATAGTCAAGGAAACACAAATACACTACCAGAGCTTTCTTCTTCCTTGTCATAATATCAAAGCCTATGACACATAGTGTTTGTCAAAGTCTTATCAATCCAAGCAGCCTCCAAACTTGTGTTTGACCAGTCCGGGACAATCAGCACTGTGAACTAGGGCTGCATGATTTGACAGCTATTGCAAATAACAATATATTACTTAATATGAGAAGGAATGATCCTATTCAAAAATGTAATCACATTTTCCTTGAAAGATGTATACAAATGATCATGGGTCAAGGATGTTGTATTAAGTCTGTTTAATACAATTTGCAGATGGTGATGTCTCTGCAGCACCGCAATTCTTAATTTGGTTAATTAGGATTTAGAACTTGTCAATATTGCGATTTTGATTAAAGTACAAGAGCAGACTGGTCTCTGGTTTCAGACAGAGGGTAACAATAGGTGGTAAGGCACAGGCATTATGAGACAAATAAAGAGCTTTTTGAACATGAAAGCAAGGAGACATGTCACAATACAGGCAAACAAAACATATATCAAGCTGAACAGTTGCATAATAGAGCAACTATAGTTCTTTGTAATTTCACTTCAGGAAGGTTATCTATTTGTATATTACATCATTTTAATTCAATGTCCAAAGGAATGACTAAAGGATGGTTAAAGTTACGGACATTGAAATGAATGCTAACCTGGATTAGCCGACGATAGATACACGGGAAGGGATTGGTCAGTTGTGAGGTAATGGCACAACAACTCTGCCCCTTGTGACATGATGAATCATGATGACACATAGGGACTACAGAGGGACATTGGATGTTATCTGAGAGCAACAGGCCTGCCACAGGATACTGGTGCTGCTAGACAAAGGATTAGTACACAGTACACCAAAGATGGGTACTATACACACCAATCACACACACACACACACACACACCACACACACACACACACACACACACACACACACACACACACACACACACACACACACACACACACACACACACACACACACATGCCATGTATACATCACTTCAGGGGACATTACATTGACTTACATGCATTTTCTGGAGACTTATCCTAACCTTAACTATAACCAACACATAACCCTTACCCTTAACCTAACCCTAAACCTAACCAAGTCTTCACCCTAAAATTAATGATTCCCCTCATGGGGACCTCCATTTTGTCCCCATAAGGGAGGCGAGTCCCCACACCTGACTGTGTAAACAGATTTAGGTCCCCACAAGTATAGTAATGCTAGGCCACACACACACACACACACACACACACACACACACACACACACACACACACACACACACACACACACACACACAATCATGCGTCTGTTGAAACAGTAAAACCACAGAATAACACAAAGATATTTCAAAGATTAGATTGTAGACCAACATTTGTATTTTGGGTTAGTGAGCATGCAAACACACAAAGGCAATTTAAACATACACACAGCTACACATGAATACATATTCAAACACACACTAGTGATCTTGACTATCGCTTCATCATTGTATTAAATATGTTTGTTTGGTTTCTGTATGTTTTTCCACCAAGTAGCCTATTGATATTTTTGTGCCCCTGCTTTTATGGTTGGATATAAAGTGTGACTGTCATATGGCAAGTCAGTACAATATCACCATCTGTGTGTGTGTGTGTGTGTGTGTGTGTGAGGGAGTTTGTTTGCGTGTGTGTATGTGTGCGCACGTGTGTGTGTGTTTGCTGATGGCCTGATAATCCTCCTTGGGCATTTGAATCCAATATTGACATGGTTAGAGGCATGGATTGTTACACACGTGGACACACACACATATTGAGAAGGGGAGAACTCCAGATGGATCTGTGATTGCAAACACGGAAACACTGCCCCCAGCCAAACACTCACACAAATATGGATGTCTCTTCTGCGTCCTTAAAACTTCAAGAAAGTTCCTAATGGTCCAGAAATATTCACAACAGTTCTGAATATCTTTACAATAAAACACATACATTTTATTCAAATCATTACTAAGACTATAACTGTTTTCCTACAAGTCCTTGACTGCTACAAAGAATAGGATACCTTGGCTTAAAGGGGCCATAACATGTAATACAGGGTAGTTTTGTGAGATGATTACCATTAGAACACTGAGAACAAGTGGTCTTAAACAGTAAATATGTCATGCTAAAGTATAAATAAGGATGCATATACAGTAAATGTGTGGGCAAATACAGATGCAGAAGGCTGTTTTTGTCTCAGTGTAGAAGCTAAGATCTGAATATGGAGTCAGATTTGGGTCAATATTCTCGCGCGTAAAACAAGCTACTCACGAGCGGAAAATGTGCTTTTACACGCGCATAAAATGACCCTCGCGCGCAGATTAAACCCCCGCGAGCGGCTCTGCGCCCGCGAGCGGCTCTGCGCTCGCTCGCGAGAGAGACAGCCCTCTTGCTTGCTCGCGGGAGTGTCAGCCTCGCGGAGTCTGTCTACGCGCGCGTGAAAAGTTTCTGGCACTTTGGGGCGGAGCCACTGGACTTTGATTGACAGCTGCCAGGAAACCCGGGGTTGCCAGGTTTGATAAATGCCTGAACTGCCAAGAGCCGAGCAGTGACGGCAGTAAAATCAGTTGGACGAGATTGAATGGTAAAGTTGTCCATAAAAAACGATTATATTCGTAAAGTGTACAGCTAATATATATATATATATATATGATTCTGTTTTCTTCAAGGTTGTGTCTTCCTGGTCGAATGTACTTATTGTAAGTCGCTTTGGATACAAGCGTCAGCTAAATGCAATGTAATGTAATGTAATATACATTCATTTGATATAAAACAATATATTTTTCAGTGGGCTGTGTCCGTCGAAAACTGCTAGCTACTGTCTGTTGTACGCACCTAGATTTTGCTGCCGTCACTGCTCGGCTTTTGGTAGTTTATCAAACCTGGCAACCCCGGGTTTCCTGGCAGCTGTCAATCAAAGTCCAGTGGCTCCGCCCATTAAACCCCCGCAGAGCCGCTCGCAAGGGGTTTAATCTGCGCGCGAGGGTCATTTTATGCGCGTGTAAAAGCACATTTTCCGCTCGTGAGTAGCTTGTTTTACGCGCTAGAATATTGACCCAAATCTGACTCCATATCTGAACATGTTGTCATTATTCCCTGACAAAATAACAAAAGGGACAGGATGTTAAGGAAAAGGCTAAATAAGTCTGTTTGCGCAGCTGAACACATTTGTAGTGTAAGGGAAAGTGTGCTTTTACTTAGTGCTTAAATTGATCAAATATAAAGAAGCTCAACTGTTTTTCAAAACTGTGTTTCAACAAGTGTAAACACATTCACAGAATAATACTTTTTGCACAAATTGTCGTTGCTTTGCTGCCAAATCATACATCCATTGATTCCAGGCTCATCATTCCAGTACACCAATCACATCCTTCTCTGGCTCTCAACATCTTAACAGCAATGGGTACAATGATAAGCAAACATCCCATGGTTACTTTTGATATGTTTCATTCTGTTGTTTTTCCCATTTTTTTAATCAAACCATAATGTACAAGTACATAAAAACTGTTCTTCGTTTGTTCTGAAAGAAGAATGAGTATCAGTCAAACAAGTGTTGCACACTTAATATTGTGTTTTCCAACTGAATTGGCAGAGAGAAAAGCTCCTTAAACTCAATATTTGAATAACTTTGGCATAAAAGATTCACTGGTTTCTCTTTGAAGTCTGTTTGAGTGCACATTTCCTCAACACGAGTGACAACAGGATGTGTTCAGATTTAAAGACTGATTGGGTCAAATTAAATTCCTCTGCTAAATATGGCTTCCTGTCCACTTCTATATGAATGTTTCCAGTGTCTCCTGACTCTTTGCGAATCGTTCCTGGGGCCATTTTTGAGAAACTGTTCATGTCACTCATGAAACTCAGGAGATTGTACCTGTTGTAATATCCATGTTTGTCACTTTGACAAATCTTTAACTGTTGACATATCACTTATCAGCACTCTTAATGAAAACCTAAAAAAGTCCCACACACTGGCACACTTTTGTTATGTATTCTGCAAGAGAAAGTCTGCTTTGCAACCCATATGGGGCAGGTCGGATCTTTTCACATCAAATGAAATCCGTTCTGCCCATCTTAAGCCCTTCACAGATCATTATTTTTCATTGTTTTCCAGACATAGGCTACACACCAATGTGTGTGTATGTGTATAACATTCATGTTGAAGGATTAACAAAAGGGATTGTGAATGAGAGTACAACTGTTTTCGCCTCCAGTTTATTGTCAGTGTCAGACAGCCATGACGTTGGTTCTTTTCCAGAAAATAATACAAGGAAGGTTATTTAGTGCCAACATGAATTCATCCTGAGAACAACATGTTGTAGTAAGTCTACCATATCTGCAGAACACAACAGAAAAGAGAGCTGCCGTGTTTAAGAGTCAGTTCTGAAAAGAGTGGTGCATTAATGACCTATTTTTGTAGGCCGACCCCGAAGTTAGCATCGCAAGTGCTCCCTCGACCAAAAGCAAATGGATTTGTTCCATTGGATTCTCGAATGTTGCAGAAAATAAAATGGGTGGTTAACACAATTTTATGATACATTTTGGCAAGCAGGATAATCTGAACACCACTTTATATTAGTTGAAGCATAAATGCAATTGCCATAAGTAAAAAGCTAATGTAAACAACACGGACGCTTGGCTTAGCATCATTAAGCTAACGGCGGCTGATGTTCAGCCTGATGATGTTTAGTAGTCACATTTAGTCACTTGTTCAGATCCACCTTTTTTCTTTTACACATAGAAGCTTCGTAAATCCACCAGTGGGCTATTTACTACCGTAAAACACTTTCACAAAAATGTTGACTTTGAGACGAGGGAGTTAGCAAAATGCTAACTAAGGTTCTAGGACTCATTCCTGCACCTCTCCATTTGGATTCAGTATGCTCAGTGTACAGATGTCTAGGCTTTCTCATCACAGCCTCTTTGACTCGAGTCTCATGCCCTTTAATGTCTCTCTCTATCTTCCTGTTTCCTGTCTTTGGCTCCACCCCTTCCTGTACCTGCTTTGCGCTTGCTCCGATAGAGAGATTCACACATGGAGAACTCTGAGCGTGGGGTATTGTATGTTTACTTCTAGACATCAACCCATCCACTCCTCCCCTCACTGTGAATCTCACCTCGCATTTCCTGGTTTTCAGTAGTTTTCCAAATGCATCTTATGACTAAGGCTACAAAAATGGATGTGGGATATCCAGTATTGGTATGATTGAACAGTTACATTCTAGGGAAATACTTATGCTATAGTAATAAGGTACAAAACACAAAAGGCCTAATCAAAAGAAATGTTAAAATATACTTTATTATCTTTTATTATGTGTATCCATTAAAACATGGAAATACATCTTTAAAAGCAGATATCCAATGTTAGAACAAAACTCAATTTTAGCTTTGATTGAATTGTTGATAAAAGCCACCCAGTATTCTGTCCAAAGCAACACTCAAATGCGTTTTTGGAAGCTACACATTTTCTTTAAAGTGTGAATCATGAAACACCTCATATTTTAATCTCTGTGGCACACATGTCATTTCGTCTTGGCAGTTAAAGCCTGAGTAACAGCATTGGCTTAATGCTGCCCTCACATTTAACAGCCATATCTGTGTCACTAAGTGGTTGAAATTTAGGCTTTTCTATTCCTTTGAAAATCTAATACGAGCCATAGTAGAAGTCCTCATGTATGCACCTGTCTTGCATTTGATGGCTAAGAATTCATCTAGTAATATATCAGGAACATATTCAGGTGAGAATGGGACTGTTAAAATGGCTTTGTGTGAGCTAACAGTCAGATATGTTAGCAGAAATAAGATGCTTTTGGTATACTGTCCCTAGCATATTTGATCATATAAGTCAAGTCATCTGTACATCATTGTTGCACGTCACATGTCCTCAGGGATTTATGTTTTTGCAAAGAGTGCACGTTTACAGTTATCATTGAACCAACATTTGAATCTCATGACTTCTGTCTGGTGAGGGATGTTTGGTTATCTGTCTGATACTTTCCCCGTCATTTGCTGTTGATGCATTGTCAGTAATTGTGTTAATTAGAAAGATATCAGCATCTGCAGTCAATCTCTCTTTGGATGTGGAAATATTAATGCTGCTGCTTTTTTTTATAGTAAGAGCATGTTCAATTATTTAATCTCATCATAAAACGCACATTTACTCCATACAAATCCAGCCAACCTGCCAGCCTCAATATTAGAATAAGGTAATTATAAGGTAAAGTAAGTGATGCAACTTTGCAGGTCAGAAAAGATGTCTTTGGCTTCAACGACTATAACAGAGGGGGGAGGTATGTGGTGAGATCTCACCGTATGAAATATCTCCTCCCACACTGTTCTGGGCTCAAAGACAAGGCACTATGTGACCGTCATGGTAACTAACGCCTTGGAGTCATTTATTTTTAATAACACCCCAGCCTACATTTAAAGCCGCATACATCTTGAACAGTTTTCCTGAGAAACTGGTATATGAAATAAATAACACATAATTTGCACTTGCACTGTTTGAAAGTATCTTTCAATGAAAGGTATCTTTCAAACAGTGCATTTGGAAATTCTCTAAACGATTTGAAGGTATTCTTGTTTACTCAAATATGTTCATCACATGAAGGGAGACGAGATAGTGATAGTAATTGTGATGGGATTCAGTTCCCAATTTCCGGGAATAATTGTATTGAGCAAAATGGTTTGTTTAATGTCTGAAACATGACCTTAACCTCAAGAAACAAAGTTATAATTGTTTAAGTTCTTCTTTAATCTTAAGTGTAGATTTAACCAAAGTTATTGAAGTTATTAAACATGATCCCAAAGTTCTCCAAAGTTGTCCTACTTTACTAAACCATCATGAAAAAACAATCTTCAAAGCAAACTCTGTAGCGGGATATAAAGGATGGAAAAATAGGTTGGATATTATTGTGTACAAAGAGTAAATTAATTTGAGTTTTGAGTGACTTTATTGACCAAAATTCCTCCTTGAGTAGAACAAAATGTACAATTGGACAGCTGTTAAGGTGGATTATTTGGGAAATGATAGGATTGTCATGACCCAAAGTTTCTCTAATACCTCAAATTACCCACAATCCACTCGACCCAATGTAAAAAGTAAAAAAATAAATGTTGAACCTCTACACTGGCACATGAAAAGGGACACATCCTCTTTCCAGTCAATATACTGCGCCCTCAGAGGTTTAGTCTATGACAAGAGAATTGATGGGATTAGTAAATGATGTCAGCCCAGGGAATGGACTCAGGTTTGGTCCACATCGTAGACTAAGGCCAATGGTCTAAACTGTGGCTGTGTGTCTTTGATAGTGTGGCTGTGTGTCTTTGATAGTGTGGGTGTGTCGGTGCTTGACTTGAAATTTCAGTCTAAACATTTAGGAATAACCTGTATATACACACGTGCACACTAGGGCTGCAACAAACGACTAATTTGATAATCGATTAATCTATCGATTAATTAAACGATTAATCGACTATAAACAACAACGTTTTAACAAATCGTAAATAATCTGATGACAGAACTGTAAACAGAATAGTTGAAACTTTAACAAACTAAATAACTCAGTTTCCTCTCATCATTAACCCATGTTTGTATCATGTAGTTAACTCCGTGTGTTGCTGCTAGCATACATAACACCTGACGTGGAAACGTTACTCGTGGATGGGGCTACAGAGCTACTAGAAAGACAGTCGAGCCCGGTGCATTCCTCCGTCTGAATGTGGAGCACTTTTGCTAAATGTTTAGACACATTGCTCGTGTTACCGCCCTCACATGCTGAACTCTTATTGGCAACGAGCATTGTCCACATCGAGACGGGTAACATTTAACCACACCTTGGAGCGCTTCTCTCCGCCATCCCCGCCGTGTGTTGCTGCATGTAGCAGCTGCGTGTGTGTAAACTGCCCCGCCCCTTCCCACACAGACGGGGGAGAGAGATCTCGTCTCGATTGGAAAGGTCGAAAATACACCATAGACGCATTTGTTTGTCTTTTTGCATATTAGAAACGAGTTGGCGACACTAAGACTGCGAGATTATGTTTGTGTAGCAATAATACATATGACATATATTTTTTAAATGTATCCAGTACCGATAAAAAGACCGATAACGTTGGAGCTTAACGGCGCGTAAAACACACGTGATGACGTCACCAACGAATCGACGACTGAATTAGTCGGCAACTAATTTGGTAATCGATTTTAATCGATTAGTTGTTGCACCCCTAGTGCACACACACCTCAGAGTCCTGAGTGTTTCCACGCTGACAGGTGCTACACTTGTGCTTGTTCACAGATAATTTGGCAAACACACACATACACACACACACACACACACACACACACACACACACAGACAGACACACATACAAACACACACAGACACACATACAAACACACACACACACACACACACACACACACACACACACACACACACACACACACACACACACACACACACACACACTTCCACCACTTTCCGGTAATACTTTTGTCTTGAATGGCTTAGAACTAGGACTGCATGGTTTAATCAGGTACAATATGTATTATTAGCAAGCTGTCATTCAGTTCTTAATCATACCCACTCTTCAGTTAAAGAGACTTTATTTGGAGTTTAAATGAAGGTACAGAATCATTTGTCTTTTTACTGCTTTTTAAAATGCTTTACAACTAGCTCTTCAGAATCTCTGTTAATAACTTTATTGTTTTTATTTTATGAAGGTTTTATTTTACATTTTGCTGTTAAATAAATGGTTTGGATATGATTAACTTTGACGCTTCTTGCCCCAAAGTACTCATTGTGTTCAGTAAACCAGCATCGTGTTGTTGCATCCTTATCTTAGTAGTTAGTGTTTTGGGTTTTGTCAGCTATCCAATGATGTGGTGTAGCAGCAACCAATCATATGCTTTAGTTTTTTGTTCTGTCTAAAAAGGCAGTTTTCCCTGAATTTCCCAGCGGCCGGCCGTTTTGCTGCTTTGTAGTGTGAATACAGTCAAAATGCAATAGGAATACAACCACATAGAAATGGATTTAAATGCAATCTATGCCTTGACAGTACTTCAATATAATCCTACATCGAGTTTTAGATGAATTGGTATCATAATGAAATTAATATATTTAATTGCTTCGTTAAACAGGAACATGTAAAAAGTCAATGTATATGTTCATGTAAAAAGGAAAGCACACTCAAAGTTACATATTACTAACGTCTCTAGACAGACACCGGAAATATATTACATGAAAGTTTGTTGGTTGGTTGGAACAAGGTTTGTTGTTCATCCCTATAAATACGATTCAATGACGAGATGCTTGTACGAAATGTCAATATTCTTAAACACATACTGTATATAAAAAGAAAAAAAATCTTATCACATCAAGAAATGAAGATGCAAAAGATAAACATGCAGATGTTTTCCGATGTATACACGTCAGATCGGTTGTTGTAACTGAATACAGCTCGTTAAAATCTCTGCACATCAGATCTGTCACTGCGCAGTAAATCATCTGCACAGAAACGCACATGAGAACGGAGATTTAATGAGACTTTAATAGATAAGAAATCTTCACAATACCCATTTGTTTTGACATGTTTTGATATAGTCATTACTTGTTCTTGCATCTATATAAGTGGCCATATGCATATGGCATGTTGACATCCATATTGTCACATAGCGCTAATTAACTAGATTGTAAATAGAGATGAAAACCTGGCTCTCGAAAGGTAATTATTTTCCAATTTAAAAGTGATCAATAAAGTCACTTTCCAAACAACCCCCAGTTTTACTTTCACACATTTGAGCATATACATAGGCTGGCCTGGGTGTGGCTTGCTAAAGAGCAACATTACAATATTAGCAGATGGAGGAGAAGGCAGATTTCCTCGTAATTAAGCTGTGTGTGTGTGTGTGTGTGTGTGTGTGTGTGTGTGTGTGTGTGTGTGTGTGTGTGTGTGTATATGTGTCAGTGAGTGGGTGTGTAGGTGTGTGTGTGAGTGAGTGTGTGTGTGTGTGTGTGTGTGTGTGTGTGGTGTGTGGTGTGTGTGTGTGTGGTGTGT